TCCGGAGAGGGACTCAGGCCGGTTTACAACAAGATTCATAAACAGTAGTTTAAAAACATCATACCACATAACACACTAATACATAAAATACATTAAAAAGCAATCATATACTTACATAAGGCCAAGTCGTCAAAGAGAAATCACAGTTCATTACCATCCATCCGTGTGGTCAAAAGTTATTGACTTACTCACCAAATGCTAAATTCCAGAGCCAGGTTTTCACCAATTTTCTAAAAGTCAGGAGAGAAGGGGCAGTTCTAATCTCCAGTGGGAGAGAGTTCCAGAGCCGAGGGGCCACCACCGAGAAGGCCCTGTCCCTCATCCCCACCAGATGCACTTGCGAGGGTGGGGGGACCGAGAGCAGGGCCCCTCCAGAAGATCTTAACAACCTTGATGGTTCATAGGGGAGAATCCGTTCGGAGAGGTAAACTGGGCCAGAGTCGTTTAGGGATTTATAGGTCAACACCAGCACTTTGAATTGTGCTTGGAAGCTGATTGGCAGCCAGTGGAGCTGACGCAACAGAGGAATAGTATGCTCCCTGTACCCCGCTCCTGTTAGTAATCTGGCTGCCGCTCGTTGGACTAGTTGAAGCTTCCGGGCAGTCTTCAGAGGCAACCCCACGTAGAGAGCGTTGCAGTAGTCTATACGGGATGTAACCAGAGCGTGGACCACCGTGGCCAAGTCAGACTTCCCAAGGTACGGGCGCAGTTGGCGCACAAGTTTTAATTGTGCAAAAGCTCCCCTGACCACCGCCGAGACCTGGGGTTCCAGGCCACAGGACCACAGCAGTGAGAATAGTTTATGCTCAATGATGGAAAGAACCAAGTCCCATGGTGCAAGATGGTTGGTTCATTGAGATGTATGAGCTTAGATAAGTCCAGAGACATTCACCTCCCTGAGAGAGTTCCCTCTGGCCATTTCCCAAGCCAAGATACTCCATTACTTCTAAACCTTTGGTAGACAGTATCTATTCTTCCTGACATCAGTATCCCTTTTGTATCTTTCTACATACTGTCTCTATTTCATAGATTTATAACACATATAAACTTCTTTACCAAAATATAACCAGATAAGCCCAGACAGATTTCCTGGACAGGAAGGGAAATGGACAAACTTTCAGTGTTGATTAAGGAGAAATCTCTACTCGATTTTAAGAAGAGCTGCAAATGTATTTGTTTTGTCTCTTCAGCAAAGGTGGGGTCAAACCTTCACTATTGGTTTTTTGAACTAGACGAGTGTTATTCTACAGGGAAAGGGCTTTTTTCTTATTTTAATAGATGTGGGAAACTAAGGGAATGAAACCATTAGGTGAAGAATGCGAAGCCCTTAGATTCTGCGTTTTAGATGCGTCTGTGTAGCGGATCAGTGAAAACGCAATTAGGTAAATGGATTTCTGCTTTCTTTTTCATCTTTGTTTTGTTTTATGGTTTGTATTCTTGTTCTTTTATGTCTGTTTGTAGATTTTGTGCTCAGTTTTTTTTTTTTTTGAATAAATTAAAACACAAAAAGAAAATCTGTGCTTTGGAGTCTGGCTTTGGAGATTTTTAGAAAAATGGGTGCTGCCGAGATAAGTGGAAGGAAGAAGCCAAAGTCTCCTCCGTGTTGCTGCGCTAAATCTAATAAACCTTTGACATTCTGCGATTACGTTTGGCCCCGCCACGCTGTCTGGGAATGAATTATGTTAAAGTAATATGGATGAGTGAAATGAGATGACGCAGAAAGAAAGCGGAGTGGAAGGACAGCCAGCACATTATTGGGATCCGAGAGGAGAGGAGGCACAAGAGGGGAAGGAATATCTCCAAAGGGAACTTCCTTCTCCAATGGCCACTTACTTACTTAGGCAATCTCTCGTTGTCCAAGTAGGATAGTCTTCCAAGATCAGTGTACTTGTGGTGGGTCCGTAGGTGACTGTGGAGCCCGATTCTTGATCGGCATCTTATCCCGTGGTTTCCAGATGGAAGGAGGTCCCGGTCGGGGTTGGCTTGACACGCCTTCCTCTTGGCACGCTTCTCTCTTTCGCCCTCCATTCGTTTCACCATAGAAGTTGAGTATCCCTTTTCTAGAAAACATCCAAAATGCTCCTCAATCCAAAATTACCCAACTTGGATGTCTGAGATCATGACATCATTGTTTTCTGATGGTTCCAATGTATGCAAACATGGCTTGTATACAAAATCATTGAAATAATTGTGTTTAAAATTGCTTTCAGGCTATGAGTGTATATTTACTTACTTTCTTACTTAGGCGATCCCTTGTTGGCCGAGTAGGATAGTCTTCCAGAGTCAGTACTCTGGTGGGTCCATAGGTGACTGTGGAGCCCGATGCTTGATCTGCATCTTCTCCCGCAGTGAGGGCATCGGTTTCCAGACTGAAGGTGGTCCCGGTTGGGGTTGGCTTGACACACCTTCTTCCTCTTGGCACGTTTCTCTCTTTCACCCTCCATTCATGTCTCTTCAAATTCTACAGCACTGCTGGTCACAGCTGACCTCCAGCTGGAGCACTCAAGGGCCAGGGCTTCCCAGTTCTCAGTGTCTATGCCAAAGTTTTTAAGGTTGGCTTTGAGCCCATCTTTAAATCTCTTTTCCTGCCCACCAACATTCCGTTTTCTGTTCTTGAGTTCGGAGTAGAGCAACTGCTTTGGGAGACGGTGGTCGGGCATGCGACAACATGGCCGGTCCAGCGGAGTTGGTGGCGGAGGACCATCGCTTCAATGCTGGTGGTCTTTGCTTCTTACAGCACGCTGCCGTTTGTCCGCTTGTCTTCCCAAGAGATTTGCAGGATTTTCCGGAGGCAGCGCTGATGGAATCGTTCCAGGAGTTGCATGTGACGTCTATAGACAGTCCACGTTTCGCAGGCGTACTGAGTCCCCCTTGTGGGGAAGGGAGAAGGGCGGGATAGAAGCGTATGAAATAAATAAATAAATAAATAAATAAATAAATATAACAGGGTTGGGAGGACAATAGCTTTATAAACAAGCACCTTAGTCTCCCTACGGATGTCCCAGTCCTCAAACACTCTCGGCTTCATTCGGAAAAATGCTGCACTCGCAGAGCTCAGGCGGTGTTGTATTTCAGTGTCGATGTTGACTTTTGTGGAGAGGTGGCTGCCAAGGTAGCAGAAATGGTCAACATTTTCTAATGTTACACCATTAAGCTGTATTTCTGGCATTGGAGAGGGATTGGCTGGTGACTGCTGGAAGAGCACTTTGGTTTTCTCGATGTTCAATGACAGGCCAAGCTTCTCGTATGCTTCTGCGAAGGTGTTTAGAGTGGCTTGTAGGTCTTCTTCTGAATGCGCACAGACGACATTGTCATCACACATTCAGGATCATGTCTTATGTTCTGTGCTTCCAGGAGTCTCTTGTCATTCCTCCCCACACTCCAATCCTACACAGTGTCCTTGTTAGGTACCTGATTCCTCCCTCACTCCTATATAAATCGGATGCCATAGAAATAATGCTACTGGCCTCAATAATGCTCCCTCTAGTAGTAAGCCTAATGGCCAAAAAGAAAGGGCTGGTGTTATGACTGTCGGGTGGGCACAAGGGAATAAAAAGTTCCAAGTATAGGAAATATAGTCAGATGAAGCATCGTTGGAATCGTGTAGTTTTCGTCCTTTGTTTCATGGAAGCTTTGCTTTGGAAGATTCTTGTCTTAAGTATTTCTTGTTCATGGTTTGGATTCTTGGAATATATGAATGCCTACTTATGCCTTGGATTAATGTTTCCTGATTATATTAGAGAATTGTAGACTTTGTTTTTATGGACTTTGCTAAACTTTACCCTGGACTATTTTTGCTCCTGCTTATCTTCAAACCTAATTGGATTTACCTATTTCTTCCAAGTGCTTTTTATTTGCTGCTTTTTAATTATCTTCAATAAAAGGATTGTTTTGCATTCAATGGTGTGGTGTTTACAGTTAGAGGGCTTTTCCTGTCCTGGAGTACAACAGGGACAAATCTACACTAGTGGTTGAGGCAAGCTCTCTATATATCTGTGCTGGTACGGCTGTATCAGGAGCTCCAACTTTATTTTCTTTCTGTTATCTGTTTGCAGTCATAGGGCAGGCCTCCTGTCCATCATAATCAAGCTTTTGTTCCGCCCCTTGTTCAGGGCTCTGGGAGGGAAAGGAGCCATTTTTTTGGGCAGTCTCTCATAAGGAAGCTAAACTATAGGACGTAGACCAGCTCGTCCTGTAGAAAAGCTTCTTTTCTCAAGAACATCCGGGGAAACAGAAACAGAAATTCCAGGGAAAAGGTCCCAAGGCTCTGGCTGAGAGCTCACAGCCTCTCAGCCTCGCAGCAATCAGAGGAAAACAACCCTGAGGTTTTCAAAGAATTCTCTGAGGGAGGACAGCACTACAGATCCACGGAACTCCATCTGAAATATCTACAAGCCTCGCTGGTAGGTCTACTCGATACCCAGATGCATTTGGAATCGGTAGTAGGACCCACACCGATGAGGCATAGATAGTAAACAGCCTGGGAGAGGTTAAATAGTTTTTTCCTACAGAGAAAGTACAGTTAATCAAAGTCAGGTACCAGTCCATTGAGGACTAGACTAAGAAAGCCTTGAAGTGTTGTTTGAACCATTGAAGATTTGTTGTTTGTTCCATAATAAAGACTTTGTTGTATCATTAAAGACTCTAAAGACCATCACTTCAGAAAAATCCCTGAGAACCTCTCTTTGAGGCCCTGGCTTCCCGCTGGGCTTAAAGTATACGTCCTATAGAAAAGACAGCTGTTACAGGCCCAGCGCGCGACAGAACGATATCGAAGACTTCTCTGTTGTTTACAAAGCCCGAAAGTCTCAGACTTTCACCTAAAATGGAAATCTTGTATTACATAATGGAAATCTTGTAATACAAGCAATAATATAAAATCTTGTGCTGATTTAAGATGCCAAAAGTCTATATTAGAAAATTTTTCTCTTTTGCTAAGCATGAACCTTATATAGTCCCATAGCTCTTCTCCCTGATGTGTCTCTCCTTTTCTTTTGCAGTTGCTCTCCAGGTGAACATTGCTCCAAATAAGGTGGAGGTGCCTGTTGGAGAGTCCAAATTCTTCCTGTGTCAAGGTGAGTAATGGCTTCCCACTTGGATCATTCCGGGCCACTCATGTAAGACGTGGTAGGCTGTTCCCGGTGTTGAGCTCAGAGAGGCAGTGCCTTCTTCTTCCAAAGGCAGAGGCTGGGGCCGGATCCCAGCGGTGCCATCCGTCAGTCTGCAGCAGAGGCGCTTGGCCGTATTTCATCGCTTAAGTGGGAACCGCTTGCCCAGAGGAGATGCGCTTATAGTAGGGTTTCTGTAAAAGCAATTTTCAAAAGACAAGCAAGAAACCTTTCAGTGAGCATTGAATTACAAGACTCTGAAGAAGTCTTGTCTGCGGTGGGCAAAAAAGAGAGGTGCATACAGAAATAAACAAAAATCTGAGCGTTGTCTCTCTTTCTATCGAGTTTGCCCAAAGATTGCTAGCAGACACCAGTGTTGTTCAGTCGCACTTCCTTTGAATCATTGTCTGTAATCCCATGCATAATAATAATAATAATAATAATAATAATAATAATAATAATATCATCTTTATTTATACCCCACCACCATCTCCCCAAAGGGGACTCGGGGTGGCTAACATGAGGCCAAGGTACAATATAATAATAATAATAATAATAATAATAATAATAATAATAATAATAATAATATTTATTTATTTATACCCACCACCATTTATTTATTTATTTATTTATTTATTTATTTATTTATTTATTTACTATACTTCTATACCACCATTCTCAGCCCGAGGGCAACTCATGGCGGTTTACAGAACGGCACAATTCGATGCCCACAACAGTACAAAAATAATGTAAACATTAAAAACATTTAACACAGGTAAAAATTCATTACAATTAACATCAGTAACACAATAAAAACCATAACTCCTCCGCATTTCATTACCAGTCATTGTCCAGTCACGTTGTCCAACCGTTCCGAGATCAGTTTAATAGCTACACTGCGTTTGGGAAGGCCTGCTCATATAGCCAGGTTTTAACTTTTTTGCAAAACGTTAAGAGGGTGGGGGCTGTTCTAATGTCCCTGGGGAGGGCATTCCACAACCGAGGGGCCACCGCTGAGAAGGCCCTATCCCTCATCCCCGCCAATCGAGCCTGTGAAGATGAGCAGGGCCTCCCCAGAAGATCTTAAATTCCTAGAGGGTTCGTAAGGAGAGATACGTTCGGAGCTTCTGAACAGTCTTCAAAGGCAACCCAGTAGTCTATACGAGATGTAACCAGAGCGTGGACCACCGTGGCCAAGTCATACTTCCCAAGGAACGGGCACAGCTGGCGCACAAGTTTTAGTTGTGCAAAAGCTCTCCCGGCCACCACCGGGACCTGGGGTTCCAGGCTCAGTGATGAGTCCAGGATTACTTCCAAACTGCGAACCTGCGTCTTCAGGGGAAGTTTAACCCCATCCAACACAGGTTGTAACCCTATGCCCTGTTCGGCCTTTCGACTGACCAGGAGGACCTCTGTCTTGTCTGGATTCATCTCCCCAAGGGACTTAAACTCATCAATAAAACAATTAATATAGATCACATATAAACAATAACACACAAGGATTTAAAAACCTATGGCCGGGCCAAATGTAATAGTTTAAAATTAAAAATAAACACTGGGCAGAACAAAGGTAGGAGGGTTTTGAAAGAAATGAAGGGAGCGCAATCCAACGAATAGTTAAAGTGCTTCTGAGGACATTTTGCTCCGAATTATTTCCTTATTCCGGGAAGGCACACTAGAACAGCCACGTTTTCAGGCTCCTCCTAAAGACTGCCAATGTGGGGGCATGCCTGATATCCTTGGGAAGTGAGTTCCAGAGTCTAGGGGCCACCACCGAGAAGGCCCTCTCCCTCGTCTCCACCAATCACGCCTGCGAGGAGGGCGGGAGCGAGAGGAGGGCCTCTCCAGATGATCGAAGGGATCGTGTGGGTTCGTGCACAGAAATGCGGTCACGCAATATACAGCAAAATAAAATACAGTATGCAGACAACAAACATTGCATCAGAATAAAATACGTACAGTAGCAAAATAAAATAAATAAAGCAAATTAACAAAATATAAAATCGAACAGAATGGGCTGGCCGAACGGACGAGGTCAATAGGAGGATAGAGAAATTGGGAAGTTATTTGAGATGGTTGCATTGTTACCTGTTGGTTTGAAATATGCGCAGAGGGTCTTCCAATTTATATTTGAGTGCTGGAAAGAACCAAGCTTCATCCCTTCCCTCCTATGTTCAGAGTTTATTGTTCGTAGTTGTATTTCCACTGTGTTGGGATGGTGCAAAGGTCTCTCAGCCTTAAGTCCACCATGCTTTGATTCCTCTTTGCTCCTAGTGACTGGCGATGCCAAATCCAAAGACATCTCCTGGTTTGCTCCCAACGGGGAGAAGCTGACGACAAACCAGCAGCACATCTCCGTGGTGCCCTCCGATGACTCCTCCACGCTCACCATCTACAACGTCAACATCGATGACGCCGGCATCTACAAGTGCGTTGTGTCCAGCGAGGAAGGGGACGTGGAGGCCACCTTGAACGTGAAGATCTTCCGTAAGTGGGGCACCCTCTTGTTTTGTTGTTATGCTACTCGGTAATCAGGTTTTGCCTTGTTCCTAGAGACTATAGCAGGTGTTATCAACCCATGGATCCCCACGTGTTTTGCCTTCAACTCCCAGAAATCCTAACAGCTGGGATTTCTGGGAGTTGTAGGCCAAAACACCTGGGGACCCACAGGTTGACAACCATTGACTATAGGGATAAAGGCAAGTGTGCATTTTCGTTGGGTCAATAAGTTGACATCTCAGAGCTGTTCGTGTCCAGCTGGTGATAAGAATTATAATGACAGCAGTATGTGTGAAAAAGATCTTGTAGTCCTTGTGGACAGCAAGTTAAACATGAGCCAATAATGTCATGTGGTGGCAAAAAAAAAGCCAGTGGGATTTTGGCTTGCATAAAAAGGAGTCTAGTGCCTAGATCCAGAGAAGTCATGCTCCCCATGCTCCATTCTGCCTTGGTAAGAGCACTCCAGGAATCACTCTGTGTCCAATTCTGGGCACTGCAATGGGAGATGTTGACTCTAAGGTGGAATGTTTCCAGAGGAGGCCACTCTTCAGCCCTATGAGGAGCGGCCGAAAGAGCTGGGCATGTTTAGCCTGATGAAGACAAGGCTGAGAGGAGACAGGATGAGGGTTATGGATCAAGAGGTGAGGAAAAGTCCTAGGGACGAGGGAGCAGGCTTGTTATCTGCTGCCCTGGAGAGAGGACACAATGGAGCCATGGCTTCAAACTAGAGGAAGGAAAGGAGATTCCACCTGAACATGAGGAAGAACTTCATGACTGTGAGAGAGAACTGTTCAGCAGTGGAACTCCTCCTCTCTCTGCCCTGGAGTGTAGTGAAGGCCACTTCTTTGGAGGCTTTGAAGCAGAGGCTGGATGGGGTTGGACTGGATGATGGCGGGCGAAGTCTAGCGGTGACTGTGATGAACTCTCCCCTCTTTGTCTCTGTCTACTTCCAGAGAAGCTGACTTTCAAGAATGCCCCGAGCCCTCAGGAGTTCAAAGAAGGAGAAGATGCGGTCATTATGTGTGACGTGGTCTCCTCCCTGCCCCCCACCATCATGTGGAAGCACATGGGCAGGGATGTCGTCCTCAAAAAAGACGGTAAGCCGAGTGAGGGAAGAACTTGGAATCATGTTGTTCCTGAGTGGAGATGGGGGACTTCCTGAGCCTGGTGTTGCTTAAGCTAATTGTTTGGAAGAGTGAGGTGCAGACTAGTTGCCAATTCTTTTCTTCTGCTTCTTCCAGTGCGCTTTGTCGTGTTGTCCAACAACTACCTACAGATCAGAGGAATCAAGAAAACAGACGAGGGGATGTATCGCTGCGAGGGGAGGATCCTGGCCCGCGGCGAGGTTGATTTCAGAGATATCCGGGTCATTGTCAATGGTGAGTTGGCCTCTCAGTCCATCCAGGTCAATCTTCTCCTGTAGAAGAGAATAATCTTCTTCAGGTCAATCTTCTCCAGGTCAGTCTTCTCCAGGTCAATCTTCTCCTGTAGAAGAGAAGATTCTTCTCCTGTAGAAGAGAAGATTCTTCTCCAGGTCAGTCTTCTCCAGGTCAATCTTCTCCTGTAGAAGATTCTTCTCCTGTAGAAGAGAAGATTCTTCTCCTGTAGAAGAGAAGAWWCTTCTCCAGGTTGGTCTTCTCCAGGTCAATCTTCTCCTGTAGAAGAGAAGATTCTTCTTCAGGTCAGTCTTCTCCAGGTCAATCTTCTCCAGGTCAATCTTCTCCTGTTGAAGAGAATAATCTTCTTCAGGTCAATCTTCTCCAGGTCAGTCTTCTCCAGGTCAATCTTCTCCWGGTCAGWCTTCTCCAGGTCATTCTTCTCCTGTAGAAGAGAAGAATCTTCTCCAGGTCGGTCTTCTCCAGGTCAATCTTCTCCTGTAGAAGAGAAGATTCTTCTTCATGTCAGTCTTCTCCAGGTCAATCTTCTCCAGGTCAATCTTCTCCTGTAGAAGAGAAAAATCTCCAGGTCAATCTTCTCCAGGTCAATCTTCTCCTGTAGAAGAGAAWAATCTTCTTCAGGTCAATCTTCTCCAGGTCAATCTTCTCCTGTAGAAGAGAAGATTCTTCTCCTGTAGAAGAGAAGAATCTTCTRCAGGTCAYTCTTCTCCAGGTCAATCTTCTCCTGTAGAAGAGAATAATCTTCTTCAGGTCAATCTTCTCCAGGTCAGTCTTCTCCAGGTCAATCTTCACCTGTAGAAGAGAAGAATCTTCTCCAGGTCAATCTTCTCCAGGTCAGTCTTCTCCAGGTCAATCTTCTCCTGTAGAAGATTCTTCTCCTGTTGAAGAGAAGATTCTTCTCCTGTAGAAGAGAAGAGTCTTCTCCAGGTCGATCTTCTCCAGGTCTATCTTCTCCTGTAGAAGAGAAGAATCTTCTCCAGGTTAATCTTCTCCAGGTCAGTCTTCTCCAGGTCAGTCTTCTCCTATAGAAGAGAAGAATCTTCTCCAGGTTGATCTTCTCCTGGCCTATGTTTCCAATCTGCTCTAATCCGTGGTGGGAGTTTGTGGCAATTCCTGCCCAACAGCATGTGTACAGTCCATATTGGCCAAACCGACAGGGCAGAAGCTTCTTAAACATGCTGAGGATTGGACATGGCCTGAGAAGGAAGGCTCTGATTAGGGAAGGCTGTGGGAGCACGTTTTCCTAAGCTGACAGCTTTGTTCTGTTGTCAAGATGTGCATTGTGAGTTGCCCTACTTTTCTGTTCTGGATTCATAGCAACCACTGGGGACTCCCAATTGGGTTGGCTCAGCAGCATTTAGCAGGGGCAGATCTCACCTATTCTAAGGCAGGCATCAGCAAACTTGGGGCCTTCAGGTATTTTGGACATCATCTCCCACAATTCCTAACACCCTGTAGTTCAAACCACCTGGAGAGTCCAAGTATGCTCATTCCTGCTGTACGGCTTTGCAAAGTCCCCCTGCAGACCACCATCCGCCTGAACAGTGAGCTCTGCTTTGGTCCATTTGCTGTCTTAATTAAGAAGGAAAGTGCGAGCGACGTGTCCAAAGATTCAGAAGCAGCAGAAGTTCAAGACGTCTTTGCTTCATCTGAATATGTTGAGCTTATTTCTGTTGCAAATATTTCTGCAGATTATTACTTTTGACACTTACTGGATCAAAAGATAATCAGAAGGAACTGTGGTTTGGGAGCTCAGACATTGCGAGTTGTCCTGCAGGACAACTGTTTGAGCCCAGTTTCGAACGGTTCGAACCTGGGATCAGGGTAAGCTCCCGTCTGTCAGCTCCAGCTTCCCATGCGGGCACATGAAAGAAGCCTCCCACAGGATGGTAAAACATCTGGGCATCCCATGGGCAACATCCCTGCGGATGGTCATTTCTCTCAAACCAGAAGTGACTTGCAGTTTCTCAATTCTCTTCTGGGATATTGCAATCAAAACAACTTTATAGTACCACAAAACTTTATGATTATTTGATTTGTACCGTCGGAAGGAGTCCTCACGCTTCCCTCTCTTCTCTTCTGACCCTCCCAGTGCCTCCCACTGTCCGTTCCAGGCAGAGCAACGTCAACGCAACAGCCAGCCTCAGCCAGTCGGTCAAATTGGTCTGCGATGCGGAGGGCTTTCCGGAACCAACCATCAGCTGGACCAAGTAAGTGACACAGACTTGAAGAAGGCATTGCACATGACTAGAGGGCTGGCGGCGAAAAGTATGACTTACTTACTTTGAAAGGAGTTGTTGCACTCCAGAAACTTTAAGGCTGCCACAAACTATTTTATTATTATTTATTTTATTATTATTTGAAACACAACAAGATGAGTCCACAGCAAACAAGATCACTGTGTGATGTATCGGCAAATAATGCGAGCAGATCCCAGTAAGGTGGCCTTCTGCAGCTATCAGATGGTAATTTTATCAGTGCTGATTGTGTTTAAGTGCAGGCCAAGGTCTTTAGGCACTGCACCCAGTGTGCTGATCACCACTGGGACCCCCTTGGACTGGCTTGTGCCAGACTCTTTGTAGTTCGGTCTAATACACATTAATTATTATTATTATTATTATTATTATTATTATTATTATTATTATTATTATTGGGTTGTTGTAGGTTTTTTCAGGCTATATGGCCATGTTCTAGAGCAGTGGTTCTAAACCTGGGTCCCCAGGTTTTGGCCTACAACTCCCAGAAATCCAGCCAGTTACCAGCTGTTAGGATTTCTGGAGTTGAAGGCCAAAACATCTGGGGACCCCAGGTTGAGACCACTGCCCTAAGGCATTTCAGTGTTTGCCAGCTATGGCATCCTCAGAGGTAGTCACCACCTCACTACCTCTGAGGATGCTTGCCATAGATGCAGGCGAAATGTCAGGAGAGAATGCCTCTAGACATGGCCATATAGCCCGAAAAAACTACAACAACCCAGTGATTCCGGCCATGAAAGCCTTCGACAATACATTATTATTATTATTATTATTATTATTATTATTATTATTATCTAAACCAATAACATATAACTATAGATAAAAACCATTAAAACTATAAAAACATCAAACATAGACATAAGCATGAAACATATTATTGCTCACATCATGTCATCTTTTCCAGTTGTTGCTCTTCAATCCTGCTGTCACCTCGGATTGACAATCGACAATCCATACTTGGTTTTTTAACACGATTGTGAGATCAGGAGTGTTGTGCCCCAAAACTCTATCTGTCTGAATCCGGAAGTCCCAGAGGAGTTTGGCGTGTTCGTTCTCTGTAACTTTTTCCGGCTCATGATCCCACCAGTTCTTTGTCACAGGCAGATAGTGTTTGTGGCACATGTTCCAATGAATCATCTGAGCAACGGTGTTGTGCCTCTGCTTGTAGTCTGTCCGCGATCTTCTTGCAGCAGCTTAGGATGTGATCTATTGTTTCATCTGCTTCCTTGCAGAGTCTACATTTGGGATCTGTTGTCGACTTTTCAATTCTGGCTTTGGAGACATTGGTTCCAATAGTTTATTCTTGGGCTGCCAGAATCATTTCTTTAATTATTATTATTATTATTATTATTATTATTATTATTATTATTATTTTGTGTCAAAAGCATTGTATACGTAAGTATAACAACTTTTCAGTTCTGGCTTTGATGGCATTGGCTCTAATGGCTTGTTCTTGGGCTGCCAGAATTATTATTATTATTATTATTATTATTATTATTAAAAACATAACAAGATGAGTCCAGAGCAGACAATCCGCTGGCTGTTGTTGTTGTTGTTGTTATTATTATTATTATTATTATTATTATTCTGTGTCAAAAGCATTGTATACGTAAGTATAAAAACTGAAAAAAATAGGAGCACGAGTGGCTAAATAATTTTTGACCAAAACTAGGCAACAGCCATCTAATTGTTGGTAGTTTTCAACAATTCTTCCTCTGTGCATGAGGCAGGGCGTTGTGGGCAAGCATACAGGTTGTTGGAACTCAGGGATTCAAGAGTTCTCTCCCTCCTCTGTGGCCTCATGAGAGCTTTTTGCACATTTTCTTGATGGTTTTTGACATCCGCACAATAAATGTTCCTTGGTAGAAAATGTGTCTGTTTTGAGACAAACACTGTTGGTGCCCAGATTGTCGGAAATCGAAACAGGTGTGTCGCTCTCCTCATTCTGTGCCTTTTGCGCCTTTTAGGGATGGGGAGTCGATAGAACGAGGGGAAGACGATGAAAAATATGGCTTCAGTTACGACGGTTCAGAGCTGACCATCCGCAAAGTGGAGAAGAACGATGAGGCGGAGTATGTCTGCATTGCGGAAAACAAGGCTGGGGAGCATGACGCAACCATACACCTCAAAGTCTTTGGTGAGTTGAGGTTTTACGGTGCGGAAAAGAACTCGGTCTGGAATCTCATTGGTTAAAAATGGTGTAATTTATGAGAATTTGGCTTTTTATTTTTTTTGTAATTTTTTTCCAATTTTAAATTTATTTATTTATTTATATACGGCATTTATATGCCGCCCTTCTCAACCCGAAGGGGACTCAGAGTGGCTTACAAGATAGATAGATATATATATATATACACACACACACACATACATAAAATATATTATATTATTAGCATAGTACAATATCAGTATTATATATTACTAAATTGTACTATACCATTATATTGTAATATTATTAGGAGTATTACATGTAATATAATTATAACATATATAATATACTTATATTATTATAAGTAGATATTATAAGTAGATACCCAACTAAGCCATAGCAGCTAATTTTGTGCTGTAATACAATAATCCAGATCCTTGCTGTTAGCAAAAAGTGTTAGAGCCAGATGATGGCCAGCAGAAGGATTGGTAGATCAGCAGACACTGAGTTGCAAAATAAGGACTCTTATCTTACTTTTCTCAAGTTCACTTAATCACAGCCTCATAGTATAAACATTCTATTATTTATTTATTTATTATTTATTTACTTTGCTTATATACCGCTGTATCTCAAGCCCGAAGGCGACTCACAGCGGTTCACAAACAGTAAAAACAGTAGAAACAGCAGTGGTTCCATACAACATATAACAATTGACTTAACACATTATCCATAAATTAACAATAAGCAATTACAATGCACAATTATTACAAAAAACAACCGTACCCAATCTTCTCATCATCCAAGCGTAGTCCAGGTTCGTCGTCCATTGTTCCATTCCTATGTTCCATTACCAGATTGCACTAAATTACTCAAACGCCTGCACAAACATCCAGGTCTTCACCTTTTTGCGGAATACCATTAGAGATGGTGCTAGTCTAATGCCCGTAGGAAGGGCGTTCCACAGCCGAGGAGCCACCACCGAGAAGGCCCTATCTCTCGTCCCCGCCAGCCGAGCTTGAGAAGCAGGCGGGATCGAGAGCAGGGTCTCCCCGGAAGATCTCAAAGTCCTGGTGGGTTCATAGGCAGAGATGCGGTCGGATAGGTAGCTTGGGCCCGAACCGTTTAGGGCTTTAAAGGCCAACGCCAGCACTTTGAATTCAGCCCGGTAGCAGATCGGTAGCCAGTGGAGTTGGCGCAACAGGGGGGTTGTATGCTCCCTGCGCTCCGCTCCTGTTAATCATGGCTGCCGAGCGTTGGACTAGCTAGAGCTTCCGAGCCATCTTCAAAGGCAACCCCACATAGAGAGCGTTGCAGTAGTCTAGACGGGATGTAAGCAGAGCGTGGACTACCGTGGCCAAATCAGACTTCCCAAGGTACAGGCGCAGCTGGCGCACAAGTTTTAACTGTGCAAATGCTCCCCTGGTCACTGCGAAACCTGGGGTTCCAGGCTCAGCGATGAGTCCAGGGTCACACCCAAGCTGCGAACCTGCGTCTTCAGGAGGAGTGGGACCCCATCCAACACAGGCTGTAACCCTATGCCCTGTTCGGCCTTGCGACTGACCAGGAGTACCTCTATACATCATTTCTAATTTACAGTGGCATCTATATTGGCAATGACATAGAATCACATTTAAAACACATACATAACTAAATTAATCCTGACAATAAGCCTTTAGTAAACTGTTAGTAGCAACATGATGTCCCACCCGCAAAGATAAGGTTTTTGCAGTTTAATACACTTTTCCCAAGAACCAATTAGGAAATGACATTTCTAGCCCAGGAACCAGAGGCGGCCCTAGGTAATTTTCAATGGTAAGCAAACTGTATTTTGCCCCCCCCCCCCCAACCAATTACTGATATATATTTTCCGTTCGTTGTGGGAGTTCTGTGTGCCAAGTTTTGTTCAATTCCATCATTGGTGGAGTTCAGAATGCTTTTTGATTGTAGGTGAACTATACATCCCAGTAACTACAACTCGCACATGTCAAGGTCTATTTTCCCCCAAGAGCGCCTCAAGAGCGGCCCTGGGCAAAATCAACTATATTGCAAAGGCTTACTTTGCGTAATGGGTTGAGCCGCCCCTGCCAGGAACAAAAATCATAATTAATAGTGTCATCCAAATGGAGACACATTGGCCTCCATGCAGCATGTCGGTGCCATCAGGACTTTTCGTAGTAATTAAGCCAGTTTAAGAATAGCTTTTTGGGGTGTTCTTTAGTGCATTTAGCAATTCACTAAACCCCTCCTTGCATTGTCCCCTTTCTCCAGCAAAACCCAAGATCACCTATGTGGAGAACAAGACCGCCATGGAGCTGGACGACCAGATCACCTTGACCTGCGAGGCCTCTGGGGACCCCATCCCCTCCATCACTTGGAGGACCTCCACCCGGAACATCAGCAACGAAGAGAAGGTAGGGCTGCCCTCTGCTGCTCCTCATCCACAGCTACGTGCTTCTGGCTCCAGGGCAATGAAAACGGGGGGAGACCTGGCCCAGGAGCCCCCTTTGCTCCCTTTCTACTACACACTGAAACCAAAGCTTTTCTGCACTCTGGGCAGGTGCTGATAGGTTTGCAGCTATTATCCCGTCAGAACCACTCTCACTGGTTGGCTGTGGTTAGTATCCCCACATTTCTGATGGAAGAAGGGAGGATGGCAATTGACAATTGACTCCTTCCATCTTCTCCCTTTGGCCACTCTTCCTCTGAAGCCTTTGAGATTTCTTGCATCCTACAACTGAGCCAATTCCCTTGGAAGTTAGGGAATCTGTAGTCTAGGCCTTCCTTTGTATGGACAGCTAACCTGGACCCTGATCTTTTCTGTTGGCAAGGTGTTTGAGAGGATGTGCCCAATGTGACCCTCTCCTCATGGCCAAGGTGGGAACTGTTCTCTGTAATGTCTGTGATGTCTGCCTTGGCCCTTTTAGAAAGGGATTTGCTCTTGTCCCACAAAGAACAAGCCAAACAACTAGAGTGACCAGAGTGTTGAGTGGTTTCCGGGCTGTATGGTCATGCTCTATTGGGCGAGTGGCCTTATTAACAAAAGGCCTTCCCCAGTGTGACCCAGCACCAGTAGCCCAAAGTGACAAAAGAACATAAAACACACAGGCTAATGGGTTGTTGTAAGTTTTTTCGGGCTATATGGCCATGTTCTTGAGGCATTCTCTCCTGACGCAGACCAATGTTATCTCTTCCATAGGAGGCTATGTAGTAAAATAATAATAATAATAATAATAATAATAATAATAATATATTATTATTATTATTATTATTATTTTATCATAATATATTTATAATATTTATCATAATAATATAAAATAAATTATTTTGTAGTAAAAGAATATGGCTGCACTATTTACAACAACAAGGTTTCCGGGACACAAGTAAAGTTCAGCCTTCACACTGGAGCTTCACACAGAAGGCCTTCTCATACTGAGGTTTACCTCACAGACTAAGGCCTACTTCACACAAAGGCTTCTCTCACAGACTAAAGCCTACTTCACACTGTGGGGCCTTTTCAGAGCCTGAGACCTTTCTCCCACTGAGGCAAACTAACACCGAAGCCTCTAAGCTGCAGGCACGAAGCCTCTAAGCTACAGGCACGCACACCTGCTTATAGAGAACTGCAACTTTTGCCGAGTCATTGCATCCATTTAACCCTTTCAGTGCTTGAAGAATCACGTTTTTGTAATTAAAAATAACTAGTTAATTTTTAATACTTCTGACATGCTCTAGCAACATTTTCTCCTGGGAGAAAATAATAATAATAATAATAATAACAACAACAACAACAATAATAATCTTTATTTATACCCCGCCACCATCTCCCCGATGGGGACTCGGGGCGGCTTACATGAGGCCGAGCTCAAAAACAATACTACAAAATAATATCCAAAACAATAAAAAATTAAACACAACAAAATACATAATGCAACAAAATAAAACAGACAATGCATCATAACATAATAAAATGGTCATACAGCCCAGAAACCATACAACACCTCAGTGATTCCGGCCATGAAAGCCTTTGACAAAACTATAGTAACTTCATTAAATTTCCATTGCCTTCTCTGTCCCACTTGGGACCTATTTATATAGTAAAATAGCATCTAGAAATATTCATAGAATCAAAGAGTTGGAAGAGACCTCCTGGGCCATCCAGTCCAACCCCATTCTGCCAAGAAGCAGGAATATTGCATTCAAAGCACCCCTGACAGATGGTCATCCAGCCTCTGCTTAAAAGCTTCCAAAGAAGGAGCCTCCACCACACTCCGGGGCAGAGAGTTCCACTGCTGAACGGCTCTCACAGTCAGGAAGTTCTTCCTAATGTTCTGATGGAATCTCCTTTCTTATAGTTTGAAGCCATTCTTCCGCGTTTTAGTCTCCAAGGAAGCAGAAAACAAGCTTGCTCCCTCCTCCTCCCTGTGGCTTCCTCTCACATATTTATACATGGCTATCTTATCTCCTCTCAGCCTTCTCTTCTTCAGGCTAAACATGCCCAGCTCCCTAAGCTGCTCCTCGTAGGGCTTGTTCTCCAGACCCTTGATCATTTTAGTCGCCTAAAAATACTTGTCTTTCCTGCCCAGGACGATTGTTCTAAGTGAGCGGTAAGCATGGAAGCTTGCTAGTGATTCTCATTTCTGGCCCCATCTAGGCTGCAAGCCCAAATTGTCCATTTTGGCACCTCTGGTTGGAGTTTGCCGGATTCCTCTAACTTTGAGTCCAACTCCTCCATTCTTGACCACAAAATGGATTCAGTATCAAAGCAACTGTCACGAGTCTATGGCTTCAGAAGAGCGGGGCAGCCATGGAGGCTCTGGTTCCAGTGTGTATGTCCAGACGTTGTGGGGAGGAGGGAGCCGCCCTTGCGGCCTGTGGGGATTTTGCGGGCCAATGGCAGAACCCCCCACCCACCCCCCTTTTGCACTCGTACCTCCACGCTGCACGTATACCTCCAGGCACAAAAGCCTTGGCTGCCTTTGTGTTCGCTTGTTAATTGTCGTTGATCACATATCAATATCATTTTTTTTTGTTCTCGATGGCAAAAATAATTAGCAGTTTCGAAGGGAAGGTGATGATTACCTATTAGACTCAGGCAGGAATCCCACCCATTCTTTTCTCTTGTCGGTTGCTATCATGCTTCCCTTTTGAAAGGCGAGCAAATGCATAAATTGAGGGAGGATTAAGAGAGAGCAGCAAAGGTTGGTTGGGAGCCAGTGCAGCTGCAGGATCAAGTGATGTGTGTCCACTAGTCCTAAACCACTTAGTTGGAAAGGTGGTGCTACATTTCGTGTTTCCCTTGCCTTCCTCCCTCCTTTTTAAGCCAAGGTATTGAATATACTTAAAATAATTGACCTGGAAATGCAGAATCCCTCAGATCACTTGGGGCGCAAGAGAAAGTACAGCAGCATAAAGTGGGAAGGGATCCCAGGACATCCAATGCCATTTTGAATTGACAATACAGAGATAGACAGAACACAAGGAGGTATGTTGTGTCGATGTCAACATCCAGCTTTTTGGCACCTTGGAATCCACATCCTTCCCTACTGGGAGTTGATCACTCGTAGAGCAAGAGAAAGTACAGAAGCATAAAGTAGTATTGAATCTACTTAAAATAATTGACCTGGAAATGCAGAGTCCCTCTGATCACTCGGGGCGCAAGAAAAAGTACAGATGCATACAGTGGGAAGGGATCCCAGGACATCCAATGCAACTACCTACCAGCACAGAAATCCAGGAGGAGGAATAATAATAATATTTTGTTTATATTCCATCCTATCTCCCCAAGGGGACTCAGAGCAAATCACAGTACACAGAACATTCAATGCCATTTTGGATAGACAATACAGAGATAGACAGAACAGAAGGAGCTATGTTGTGTCGACGTCAACATCCAGCTTTTTGGCACCTTGAAATCCACATCCTTCCCTACTGGCAGTCGAATAATTGGAACCACAGTGCATTAGATGTAGAGGAATATCAATTTAGGGAAGACTTAACTGATGGTGTCACATTCGTAAAGGCTTCCTGGTGGTTCAGATAGACCCTTGACAGGGGACTCAGGGCAGATCACAGTACACATACACGATAAACATTCAATGCCATTTTGAATTGACAATACAGAGATAGAACAGAAGGAGGTATGTTGTGTCGACYTCAACATCCAGCTTTTTGGCACRTTGGAATKKACATCCTTCCCTACTGGGAGTCGAAWAATGAGAATAATGAGAACAGTGCATTAGACGTGGAGGAATATCAATTTAGGAAAGACTTAACTGATGGTGTCACYTTCGTAAAGGCTTCCTGGGGGTTCAGATAGACCCTTGACCTGATCCCCCAAATGCAGAGTCCCTCTGATCACTCGGAGCGCAAGAGAAAGTACAGAAGCATAAAGTGGGAAGGGATTCCAGGACATCCAATGCAACTACCTACCAGCACAAAAATCCAGAAGGAGGAATAATAATATTTTGTTTATATTCCACCCTATCACCCCAAGGGGACTGAGGGCGGATCACAGTACACATACACAGTAAACATTCAATGCCATTTTGAATTGACAATACAGAGATAGACAGAACAGAAGGAGGTATGTTGTGTCGATGTCAACATCCAGCTTTTTGGTACCTTGAAATCCACATCCTTCCCTACTTGGTGAATAGCTGGGAGTCGGATAAAGGGAACCACAGTACATTAGATGTGGAGGAATATCAATTTAGGGAAGATTTAACTGATAGTGTCACATTCATAAAGGCTTCCTGGTGGTTCAGATACACCCTTGACCTGATCCACCAAATGCAGAGTTCCTCTGTTCACTAGGGGAACAAGAGAAAGTACAGAAGCATAAAGTGGGAAGGGATCCCAGGACATCCAATGCAACTACCTACCAGCACAGAAATCCAGAAGAAGGAATAATAATAATAATAGTAGTAATAATAATAATAATAATAATAATAATAATAATAATAATATAACAACAACACTTTATTTATATTCCACCCTATCTCCCCAAGGGGAATCAGGGTGGATCGCAGTACACAGACACGGTAAACATTCAATGCCATTTTGAATTGACAATACAAAGATAGAACACAAGGAGGTATGTTGTGTCGAATCAACATCCAGCTTTTTGGCACCTTGAAATCCACATCTTTCCCTATTTGGTGAACAGCTGAGAGTTGGATAACAGAACCACAGTGCATTAGATGTGGAGGAATATCAATTTAGGGAAGACTTAACTGATAGTGTCACATTCGTAAAGGCTCCCTCCTGGTTCAGAAAGACCCTTGACCTGATCCGTGAACAAGCCATTTCTTACAACCCTTTAGGTAGATTTACTTCATATTTGATCCGAGGAACGCCTTTCTGGAATTGTCCTTTTTCATTCTATCTACTTTGATCTTCTTATCTGTGATAT